AGAGAGAGAGAGAGAGAGAGAGAGAGATGAGAGAGCAGAGAGAGAGAGAGAGAGTGTGTGTAATACCTCCAACACTGCTGGTTTAGAATATCCACAAACTCTGAATCAAAGTGCTGATCAGAATACCAAGCCCCACCAGTGAGTGAGCGATCAGGTTCCAAGTTATACAGAAGATATGTCTTCTTTTTGGGAGCCTGGCTAAAGAAAGTATATATGTTACAACAGTTTCAAAGCTTGTTTTCCCAAAAAAAATAAAGATTTCTGGCAGGTATTCTGCATATTCAGTAAAGAAAGAATACTGTATACATTAATGTTTGTAAATGCATCAAGTAAAACTGACCGAAACTGAATTGAAGCTCTTGATCAACTTCTTGCTCTCTAGTTTTCTTAATACTTTATCAACAGTGTTCAAATGCAGGTTGCTTTTTGCACGGATTTCACGTGCCCAGATGCCCTGGGTTCCACTCTCCTCAATGATCTTGTACACAACCTTTATGGGAGACAAAAAATTGGTTATTGCAATATTACTTTTATCTTTTCAGATCAGAAAACCTTTCTATCAAAGCATCATTATATTCATACTAAAGTTAATTTCTACTGTCAATACCAATTATTCTCCTTCATTCTGAATGGTAGCTGTATGAAGTAAATGATCACATCAAAACTTTGATAAAAAATAAATATACATTATCTAACTAATAGGAAAATTAGTATAAAAAGAAGTTACCTGTTCCTCTGGCTCAGCCCCCTTCACCCGGTGTAGACTGCCTGGGTCACGTAATTTGAAAACTAGGACATCATCATCTTTCTTCAACATGTCAATTCGACTCTGGAAAAAATAATCTATTACCCTCACTTCCTTTTTTTTATTCTCACAAATACCAATTAAACAAACAAGCTTACACTGTACAAATAAAAACTAGTTACTAAATATAAAATATTTACAGTAGCCAAAAGCTTGTTGATGATTTCAACAATATGCTGCAGTTTAAGAGTGGGCATGTCATTCTGGATGATTTGGTATGTGATCCCTTGCTTGAATTCCCCACACAACTGCAGAACTCTGTGAAAAAATATATATTGATAAAATTCTTCTGGTCATATCTTTTTTGGTTTGTAATTAAAAGTCATCTTATATATTAAGACAAAAATTTTCTTCTTCCAATCCTATAATCTCATGTGTATACAGAGAAAACAAATATCATACTCAATAACTGATTATGCGAGGATTTTACCTTTGCTCTACTTCAGCTGCTAGATCTGGAGCTGCCATTATCAATATCTGGTGGGAGTAAAAAGCAATTTGTTAGCAAATTTCTTGGCCTTTCCATTTTTTGGCTTTTGAAAAAAAAGAAGAAAAAAAATTAAAAAATGTTTAAAATTTAATGAACTAAAAAAAATCTTGAACATTCCTTGAACATTCTGTTAGTACCTGCTTATATACCACACTCAGACCAAACTTCACTGTTACTGACAAAATTTTAATGGTTCTACATCCTCCACTGTCATCAAGATTTTCTATGTTCAATGTACTTTTTGAAGAAATAGGTTTCAGAAGTTTTGTTGTGTAATATCAGCTATCTCTAATATCTAACTATTATAAAAATCAAGTCAAAATGAGAAACAAACACTGAAAAGTAACAAGTAACAACTTTATACATTAAAATCTATGGTACCCCCCCATTCCATGGGATTATCCATAAATAAATTACCAACTCCAGCCATGATCTTCACCCTAATGACTATGAAGGGCATAAAATTGCTATACAAAGGATAATTAGGGATAAAAACAATCTACACGGCAAAAAAAATATCAACATTACAGAAACTAAATCCAAGTACATATCTCATACACACTACTAATTATTATTTTCATACATTAACAGAGTAAATATAGATACAAAGATGAAGTGTTCAACCAATATTTACTTTTCACCACAAATGCAAATAATATGCTGTCAAATATGCAATATATCTGGACACTGCCTGAGCTTCATTAATGCCCCTACCTGTGATTTAATTATGCACTAATTTCTATTTCCCTGTATATTTTGCTATATATCATGATTTGTTGAAATGAAAAAAGATACCAGTACTTACCAAATTTGTGTTGTTTCACAGCACTATTGATAATTTTTTACTATTTAAAATTATTTAAAGACAAAGAAAAAACAACCTATGCTACTGCACAGCCACAACAGAGACAGTTGATTATAAGTGGACAGAATACAATGCCTAGCCCATACATACCAGACTTTATAGCCTGGAATAGCTCCTGCAGATTGTATCATATACCATTATTATTTTCCCAGCAATATACTTATTATACTCTGCACTATATAAAGGTTGCAAATGTCATTTTAAAAATCTTCTCATAATCAAATAACTTTTTTTGAATCACTTCTAAACTAAACTGCTCTTACCAGTGTCATTTGTACTGACAATGTGTTATGTATATGAATCAGTTAAACAGTTTTATACAGTTCCTATTTAGTTTTGTACTTTGTATTAGCCTCACCTACTGACAAGTATTTAGACTAAAAACCTCTCCTATATAAGATCTTAATTAAAGAAGCAGCCTCTAACAAGGCAGCATATAATTAACCGCATTATTATCCCATGTTTGTCACCAAGGAGTTGGTGACAAACATGGGATTACCATAAAGGATTAATTATAGCAACATATTTACACTTTGCAGGTTAGAATATGGAATACTAATGAAATAGAAGCATTCATGCCACACCAATACCATGTCATGTCACAGGCCATCAACAAATTTCTCCACAGTAGAAAGTCCGAAAGAAATATCAAGAAATTGGAAAAACTGGACAGAAGCATTAAAAGTATTCCTGCAATTGACCAAATCGAGATCAGACAATCTCAAGAAACTCATATTTCTTAATACTGCAGAAATAGAGGTACAGCAAGTGTTAAAAGAGTTTCCAGAAGCTGCCAATATTAAAACCTATTCAGAAGCCATTGGCGCGCCCAATACACATTTTACTCCTGAACGAAACATCTGTTATGAAAGATTTCTTTTTTATAGGACTAGTTGCATGCAAGGAGCAGATGAACCAATGAGTAGCTTTGTGCATAGATTAGAACACGTGAGCTTGGTACTTTTCTAGAGAATGCACTCCATGATTGAATCATAATGGGGTGTTATTCTGAGAACATGAGAAGACTCCTGTTGAATTCACATAATGTTTCTTTGGAGAAAGGATTGAAAATAGAACGTCGTATGGATTAAATCAAATTGAGTGTATCTATGTCTGAGGAAGGAAGAGGAACATTGCATGAGGAACCAAGAGTAATAAGTGTAGAATAGGTGACAGAGAAGTAGGAATAGAGCCCAGGGAATGAGACAAGGGAACTGGGGATGGTATGAAAATATAAGAAGAATGTCAAGCAGAAGGACCCGAGAAAGACACTTTGTAGACAGATGAAAGCCACTTGAGCATCCTAGAGGGAGCAGAAAAGGAATCTGAGGAAGAGAAGGAGATGGTGCTATCTATATCAACTTGGCAGTGCAATTTTTTTTTATCAAAGTTGTCTACCATGATAAACTAACACAAAAATGACTTTGTGAGAAAAAAATTATATGATTATCTTGCAATTGAAAAATAACCTTCCAGCCTTGAAACTTACTCTCTTCTTAACAATTAATAAAATATATTTATATATTACATACAAAAGATGTTTGGTAATTTTTAGTTTTACAGAACCAGTCAACTGATTGCAATCATTTCTTGTTTCAATTATTCTTGGTGTAAAATGCATGGTCTGTTGTTCCATCACAAATTGTTTAAGTGAAAGCATTGATAATTGTTCCTATTACTATGGCTACTCCTGGGAAGCTACAAACATCACTATATGAACCAAAAACCTTTCCAACATGAGGGCTTCGCTGCTAGACCAATATTCCATTGCTGCATTTCCCTATTGGGGGATCTGCCCTAGACTCCCACCCAAATGCCGGGAACTTACTCTCCACGTGGTATTTGTCATGATCTACTCTTCATTTCTATATTATTCTTCGACTGTCCAGCTTATTTAATGTATCAGTGGGTATACGTTTCCCTGTCTTTGTAACTGAGTCATTAGATTTACGGTATGTACACAGGAAGGGCAAATTGAAGAAGATACTCTTGTGAAAAAAAAATATGTATATAATTTGCAAACCAAGATACAGACAATGTTTGCCAGGGGGTGTTGGAGGGGCAGAGGCCCATCAATCCTCTCTTGGGTAGTGCTGAGGGCACACCCCGTCATGGCAATTTTGATTGTTGAATAAAGTTTTAACGTGGAAGTTGGGACCAAGTCTCTGGCGAGTATTCATATTGCAAAGAATTCTCCTGTCATTATGTAACTGCATACCAAAGTAATACGTATTGTACAATTTTCTTATTATGATAATTGTTACCAATAGCGACATATCCTCCTAGAGACTAAGTCGAAAAAATGACATTTTTTGTAAGAAATACAATAATTTCATCAATTCTTGGTGTTGTTTCTTTTACAAGTATTATTTTTCTATCAACAATCTTGATTTGATAGTCCCGATAGTAGGGGAGGGCATGAAGTAAACACAATGCATATATAGCCATGAACCTGCAATGTGCGAGAAACACTCATTTTGCTGTGGTGTGCTCTGATTGGCTGATAAGTCTGAGCATGTGCAACATCAGACTCATTGTGACTGGTTGTATTACGGAAGCAGGAGCAGCTGGATTAGTTTGAATATTGGAATCATTGAGACAACAGCGTTATTGAAAATTTTGATGAATTTTTGGACTTTCTTGATTTATTAGGTTAGGTTAAGTTTGTCTAACAGCAATGCCGTGCACAATACCCTGTATATGACGTCACAGCCATTGGCCAATCAGAGTAGCTTCACAGCAGAATATGTGTTTCCCGAATGTTGCCAGTACTGTATCCACTGCCTAAAGAAAATGGATTAACAGAAATAGTGATATGTATAGAAAACAAACATAGAAAATGTAGACATAAACAAAGAACTCTAGCTGTGTGAAGGGTGTTGTGAACTCTGAGCTGCTGCGGACATTTACTGGTAAAGGTGAGGCCACTGCAGCTTACACTATGTTGCTTCTTATTCTATCTCTTAGGCTCTATAGGATGGTGGTGCCCATTTCACTCTATCTCCATGCGTTGCCCTCAGTAAGTTAAACCCTGATTATCAACTTCAAGAGGAAATACCATAGATGGAAAGGGGGAGGATAGACCACAAATGGAAATGTTTTGTAGTCAGAACAGCCTGTATCTATACTGGTTGCTGGCTGCTTACACTTCACTTTCCAGTTTTTAAATGTCAGGTAATAGGTTTATTTAGGATATATCATATACATACTGCTTTTCTTGTTCCTAGTACTTATAGTATGGTTTCTTTGATGTATTTGTGAAACTCAGAATTTTTATTACATCTCTTAATTTGAAGGCATTATCGCAATCTGAGGTATAAGACTGCCATGACAACTGTACAAGAATTACGTTTTGCTGAGTTTTGCTCACGCTTCGGTATCTGGGTCTGCTGATGTTTATTGTAGTTCGTCAGTGTCGGCTTCTTGATTTGCCGGCAAATTTGAAAAAAAAACTGCTCGTTTCGCAAGAAAGTGAGAAACACTTTACCTGGCCGTGTATAGACGAAATATAAACTTATCGCACCAACACGTTCGGACACAAGCATGAAAGATACAACTCGCCGAAAATTTGTTTACATTTTGTTTTCTAAAACAACCGAAGCATTGCCGATTTTTATACATTCTTATTTTCATTTATTATGGTGTAATTTGTGGCCAGATTTCACAAAGCATATGGCAACAAAAATATACATTCAAAAATTGAATATGAAAATGGATTTGATGATATTCAAACATTACGGTAAAATATCGGTAAATAAGTATGTGAAGGCACGATAACCATAATATACATTGCGACATACAAAGTATTCAAAGATATAAAATACAGGATTTACATATGAAAACACTGGCACTTGCACTCACTCACACGCACACGCATTGTTTTATCATCAACATTATCATTAACATCATTATCATTATTATTATTATCATTTGTTATTGTTATTATAAAAATGATAATAACAATAATAATGATAATGATAATAACAATAGTAATAATGATAATGATAATAATAACAATAGTAATAATGATAATGATAATAATGATAATAATATTAAGAATGATGCTGCTGATGATGATATATAATAATAATATAATAATAATAATAATAATAATAATAATAATAATAATAATAATAATAATAATAATAATAATAATAATAATAATAATAATAATAATGATAATAATAATAAATAATAATAAGTAATAATAATAATAAATAATAATAATAATAATAATAATAATAATAATAATAATAATAATAATAATAATAATAATAATAAAATTAATGACAATAATAATAGTGATTAAATTGTTATTATCATTATTATCATTATTACTATTATTATTGTCATTAATCTAATTACTATTATTATTGTCATTAATTTAATCACTATCATTATTGTCATTAATTTAATCACTATCATCATTTATCATTAATATCATTACCATTATCATTAGCATCATGATTATGATTATTATCATCATTATTATTATCATTACTATCATCATTATTATTTTTATATTATTATTATTATCATCATCATTTATCGTTATACTATCATTATATCATCATTATCATCGATATTATTATTATTATTATCGTTATCATTAGTAGTATTATAATTATCTTTATAATCATTACCAAGATTATCATCATCACTTTCATCATCATTTTATCACTTTATTATTGTTATTATTATTATTTATTATTATTATTATTATTATTATTATTATTATTATTATTATTATTATTATTATTATTATCATTATTATTAGTATTATTATTATAGAAATTATCATTATCATTATTATATCATCATAATTATCACTATTTTCATCATTACTATTTTTATCATTATCATTATCCTCATCATAATCATTATAATCATCATCATCATTATCATTATGATCATCATCATTATCATTATTTATCATTATATACTATAATTATGCATCATCATCTCATCATTATTGTTATTATCATTATTAGGTTTATCTTAATTACGATTATAATTTTGCTGTTATCATTATTATCAATCTTCTTATGATTATCCATATCCTTATCGTTATCATCATGATTATCCTTATTATTATCATTATAGTTATGATCATTATCATCGCTATCATCATTATTACTATTATCAATATCACTATTAATATTGCCATCATTAGAATTAGCATCATCACTGTTATCATTATTACTATTACTACTATCATCCTCATCATCATCACCATCATTATTATCATTATTACTACTACTTTTATCACTGGTATTTTTATTCATTGATCATTTTGTTATCATTACTTATTATCATTACTATTTATTATCATTACTAGTAATTATTTAGTTACTACTATTATCTATTATACACAAAAACATTTAGTATATATATTGATATATTGGTATGATATATATATCATATATTCATATAATAATATATCATCATATATACTCTATATAGATATATATTATAGATACATATGTACACCAAACACCACCATTTATAGTATAATAGGTATATATATATATATAATATTATATAAATATGATATATATTATTATATATATATTTTATAACATATACACAAACACACTATTGTATATAATTAAATATATAATAATATTATACTATATATATATACACGTATACACAAACACACATTATATATTATTATATTATATAAATTATATATATATATAATATACAATATGTTATATCATTCTACAGTATCATACTACTATATATATTATATTAAATATTATAATATACATACTTATATACTAATATAATATAATATATAGGATATATCATAAATTAACAATACACAACACACATGTATATATATATAAAGATAATATATAGTGATATATAATATTTACTATAATTTCAATTACTATATATGATTGCCTCAACTGTTGTGTGTGAGTGCTGTTGTGGTGAGTGGTAGTGTGTTGTGGTGTGCTGTGCTGTTGTGTTAGGTATGCGTGTGTATATTCTTTTGTTAGTGATCGATATGGGATTATAATCATTGAGGTGTAGTGTGTGTACCGTGATGTGTGCTGTGTGTTGTGTGTTGTGTGTGTTGTGTGTTGTGTGTGTGTGTATATTACGTTACAATCGTTGTGTGTGTGTGTGTGTGTGTTGTGTGTGTGCTTGTATGTGATGGATGTATATGTATTATACGTGTTAGTGGTGCGTGTATAGTAATATATACTATATTATTATATAGATATTAGTTAACTATTATATGTATGTATGTATATCAATGTATATATGTTATCATATGTTATACTGCATAATATATATGTATGTCTATATATTCATATATGTTTTATATATACATATGCTGTGTGGTGTGTGTGCTTGTGTACACGAAGGGTGGCACATTCACACCGTATTAATATATATTAGCACAATTAACCATAATTATATAGAGACACACACACACACATCATCACACAACACACAACACACACACACACACAACACAAACATACTAATACTTTATTATATATATAGACTATATATATTCGATATATTACTAAATTAATATATATATATATACTCATATATGTAAGACACAATATCAGCTGTGACTTGGGGTAATACACAGCGAGCGTAGCCTTTACTGAAGACCAGCTTTGACCTGCTGTTGTAGTGTGTCCAGTGACAGTGGAGAACTTTATCGCTTACTGCCTTTGGTCGCCGGAGAGCACTTCAATATACGTACTATATTATAATAGTATAATATATATTAATATACGCTGATATATATCATAAATCTGGTGCTGCTTGTGTGTGGTGCTTAGTATATATATATAAGACACTATATATATAATATTATATTACTAATTATAATATATTAATTACATTATTATATATATCATGTATATATAAAGTATCTTTACGGGGAATATTTTTGTACCAGTATTAATTATTTATGTTTTTACCTGTTCTACTGACACGACTGAAGGAAATGAAATGTTAGCTGAATAGGGAATCAGCGTACAACTGCACTAATATTTTTTTGTTTGCCTTGTCTATTTCCCATATAAACTCCATTAAGTGGCCAAATAGCTTTAGAGAATACTGAAGGCTGAGAATTCAGATCAGTTTACACAAAGAGCTGAGGGAACGAGGTGTTATTAAATCAGGTTTAATTCGTTAAACATCGTAATTCTCTTTTTGTGGCAAACAAAAACCTCTGCGTGATATCTTGCTTTATTATGGCTCTCCCACGCAATATTACTTAGCGTAGTACTGAAGGATTTACCTGTTATTTGAAAATAATTTTACTGAACGACTTTCAGATCACTGAGCTTGGTACTCCGGCTCTGTAAAATGATGAAAGTAAAACCAACACAGTCAACAGTATTTATTTTATTGATATAAAGATAAAAAGACAAATTAGTTTAACCTTCCTTCTTCGTACGTTCTGTGCATAGGCGTTGCTATTTCAACTTAAATACTCTTATGTGTGTTTATGTGCATACATTCATACGTATATCAAAGACAAGGCCTAAGTCTCTCTAAACCGGCGCCCCTTACAGCACGAGCAGAGGAAAAAGCTCCTCTTCAAATTCATCTTCCCTGAACGACGGTTGAGAAGAAGGTGTCGCAGCGGCCGTAAAACACGCACTCCTTCAGCCACTGCGCGTCAGTCGCCACGTCGCTGTAAACGAGGTGTCCCTGGGAACACGCGGAGCCGGTGTTCACGGTGGAAAGCACGCCCATCATCACCCACACTTCGTCCAAACCCGTGCCGATATCCGCCAGGTATGGTCCTCCCGATGAACCGCCGGTGATGCTGATTCCTAAACACAGAGAGCGGGAGAAT